AAGTTGTGCAATAAGAACAGGAGCTTAAACTTATCCTTAGGATAAAAATATAGTAACTAAGAAGATAAAAAAATCATGAGAAAATAGGCTGCAATAAGAGCCAACATAACTTAAGCAAATGTTTCAACTAAATGCATATAAAAAATGCATGGAGGCGTCATGCATAGGTGGGAAAAAACTATGGATATAGATTGATGAAAAAAAAACATATAGAGTAATTAATAAGTTCACACACGACTAGATTGATCGAGGTTATTATATTGTATATGTATGGTATTGTGTTACATAATAAACAAATAAAGAGAATACACAAATATATTAGTTAAGATATTAAACATGATTTTTTATAGTTATATGTTTCCTCAAATTCTAGCTCACGCTGAGTACACTTTGTTGGACTAGTTGTGTTCTAACAAACAGATAACAATCGCAAGTATGACCATATGGCATCGTCTCAAGACCTACGCTACACCTCCCGTGAACAGAGTCGTACGAGGCACGACACAATGTTCTACACTTCCTGTTGCCATTTCCTATCGAGGCAAAAATAGATCAAAGGACAGTGAGGCCAGCAAAGAAAGCAAAAGGCGTGAGGCCTGCAAAGAAAGCAAAAGGCGAGACGAAAGGTGCACAGTAGCGCTCACTTTGCTCACGTTGGATTGCTTGCCTTGCATTCTTCGCTCCTCACCACTTGGGAGGCAACATGCAGCCCCACAATTGCAACTTTCAATTGTGGTTCTTGGCCTTGAGCGTACAAACAATAATTCTGATGCTACTACTGTTATAACAAGTATAATGCCCAATGCCACAGTGTCAGAGGTAGTGGTGTGCAGGGCAACAAATTAAAATACGATCAGAGGACGAAGGGGGACATAACCAACCGATGTATATGGAGCTAGATTATTAGTGAGGATGATTAAGGTAGCATTTGGTTAGAGAGCCATGTAAGATGGAATAATTTATCTTTATTTTTAGAACAGGATTAGCCCATCGAGGAATCAGACCAAATAAAGAAACATATATTGTTCATTACTACAGTGCATGGAGCAACCAGACCTAAAGTCCTACCAAACATGCATGGCCATATTTTTGCTGGAGCTGAGTCAAGTGCCACAATAGCAAACAGTGAGACCAGCGACGTCTTTGTTGTGTCCCAGTAGCAGTAGAGTTCTTGTGTTAACATCGCCATCACCGATATTCTTTCCACCAGGTTCCTCTTTCCTTTGTAATGCCCATTTATTCCCCCCTTTTTTTGCAACTAAACTCTTCTTTTCTAGAAATCACTATATAATTCAAGTCAAATTCATATGCTCGGTTGGACCCGACCAATGTTCGGGTAAATCACAGGCACCACCGGACAGGACACGAAAGCCTCACCCAAGGGCCTGAAGATTCTCACGGTTGTCCAGGGCATGGGAGATACCATACCACAGCCACCACCGGAGGCCAAGAATTCTCTCCCAAGATTCCGTCTTCCCTCCAAACAAATCAGCCTTTTTGGAAAAAGCCTACTTAACCTCCATCTTTCATACTTGGTCTAATTCACCCTCCAACTATGAAACCATATGTTTTACCCTCCTGAACTTTCTAAAACCGTCTATTTTACCCCAAAACCGTCTATTTTACCCCTGGGCGGTTTTAAGCCGGTTTGCTACAGTAACAGCTGGGTTTGCTACAGTCACAGTGGTTTTGAATTTTTTTTTTTTATTTTCGGTGAATTTTTGAAAAAATCATAGAAAAATCATAAAATGAAAAATCTAATTTTATTGGACTTCACATGAGTAGATCTACACAGTGAATATATAATATGGTATGCTTTAGTACAAATTTTTTGTAGCTTTAGATTAATTGAAAATCTAATTTTGTCTGTAATTAATTAGAATTTATCTATAACTAAGTTATACATAGTCCAATGAGTACGAAATTTTTACTATAGTTCAAGCATACAATAATTAGCGTACCATAAAAATTTCACCACAATTGGACCATAGAAGCTGCAGCTATGAATTATTCCAATTAATTACAGACAAAACTAGATTTTTTAATTAATCTAAGGCTACAGTAAAAATTTTGTACTAAAGCATACCGTATTATATATTCACTATGTAGATCTACTCATGTGGAGTCCAACAAAATTAGATTTTTCATTTTATGATTTTTCTATGATTTACTATGATTTTTCAAAAATTCACCAAAAATAAATAAAAAAAAAGAAAATTCAAAACCACTGTTACTAGCAAAACCGTCGCTGAAAACCGTCCAGGATGTAAAATAGACGGTTTTAGAAGGTTCAGGAGGTAAAACAGACGATTTCATAATTGAGGAGTGAAGTAGACCCAGTATGAAAGATAGAGGGTTAAGTAGATTTTTTCCTAGCCTTTTTTGCCCTGCAGAACCGAGCAAAAAGCCGCATCAAATCAGGGAGCCCCCTTTCCCTCTCCCTGGAGGCATTTTGGTTCTCACCGTCACCCACGCACGCACGCACACGGCCACCGAAACTGTCCGATTCCCCCGTCTCCGCGCGCCGGCCCTGAGTCACCGGAAAAAAACACGGCTTTCCGAGTGGATCTGCGAGCAAGGGGAGGAATTCGCAAGTTGGGGCCGAGAAGCATCCGGCAACAGAAGACGACTTCGTCCGTGTGCGACTGTGCGTGCACCCGCTGTCCGCCTGTTTCTTTCGGTGGTGTGGGGGCTTGTGGCCCTGTGGGCTCGGTGCCGGTGCCGGTGCCAGGGGAGAGGAGGCGCTGCTTCAGGGGTGTTTGGTTCATGTAAAAGTTAAGTCCCGGCTGTCCCATCGGATGTTTAACATATTTATAGAGTATTAAATATAATTAATTATAAAACTAATTACACAGTTTGTGACTAATTTGTAAAACAAATCTTTTAAGTCTAATCATTTTATGATTTGACAATGTAGTGCTACAATAACCATGCACTTTTTAATGATGGATTAATTAGGCTTAATAAATTCGTCTCGTGAGTACCGATGGATTCTGTAATTTGTTGTTTTATTAGTATCCGAATACCCCATGCGACACCATCATATGATACCTCCTAAATTTTAGTCACCGGATCCAATCATCCTCTTAGGCCATGTTTAGATCTAGCGTGTAAAGTTTTAGAGTCACATTGGATGTTACGTGAGGGTGTCGCATGGGGTGTTCGGATACTAATAAAAAAATAAATTACAGAATCCGCCAGTAAACCGCGAGACGAATTTATTAAGCCTAATTAATCCATCATTAGAACATGTGTTACTGTAGCACTTTATTGTCAAATTATGGACTAATTAGACTTAAAAGATTCGTCTCATAAATTAGTCGTAGACTGTACAATTAGTTATTTTTTAGTCTATATTTAATACTTCATGTATGTGTCTTAATATTTAATGAGATACTCCCTCTGTCCCAGAAAGATGGACGTCCGAGCTTCTCATGCATGTGTACATCGATGATTTGATGGGATAAGGCATACGTAAAAATGCTACTTTTTCATTGGGGACAGAGGGAGTAGGGTGTAAAGTTTTGGGTGAAAACTGAAACAGTACTTAGACGGGAAAGAAGAGGACAGCGGCTGGAGGCATGGGATGCCTTGTGCCTCCGCCATTGGTGGACCTCCTCCAAATCATTCCCCGCTACTGTTGCCTGTGTGCCAGTCATGCCTGCCTTCTCCACCAACGTCAAGGAAGGTACTTGCGACGTACAACCTCCATTCCAGCTAAACTAATCAGGCCCTCCGGTGATCTGTTCCCATTGGCCAAGAGGAAAGCTGATTAGTAGTAGTAGCATATTAGTGCTACGGACGGAGTACTAGCCCTGATCTCGGGCATTTGCAGTCATAAACAAACTGTGATCTGACTATTTTCTATGGCCCCGTTCACGCGTTCCTTAAATTCGGCTTGATCCGCTTATTTTTTCATTCGAACCGTATTTTTCTCTTATAAATTCCTCCAACATTCCTTCAAACCATCCAAATTCCTCTTCAAAATTTAGACAAGCGAACAGGTAAGTCACAGACTAAGCGGTCATTTCGCCAGCAAAGTACAGCTCTTGAGACCGCTAAGACCAGGTTTTTTCAGCCAATGATAAGCTTTGCCTAGCTTAGTCACAGGGACTAACTTGACCAATCTATAAAATCTGTAGAGTCCTTCCCTCCCACAGCCACAAAAACCACCAGTCTGTTTGTTTCAGCTGGATTGACTTACAAGATATGGCTGAAAGTACTACTGATTGGTTTGGTGTGAAAGAAAAATACTATTTATTATAAGCCGAATACGAGCTGCCGAACAGGATCCATTCTCATCGTGGTTCCGTTTTATCGCATCAAAAGCGACAGGAAACAGCTGATGAAAACTACAATCCTTTCATCACCATCTTGATTAATAACAAACAAACAAAAGGGCGGGTCGATGAGAGGGTGACCGATGCTAGCTAATACACCCCCATCTTAATAAAGATAAATAAGAACCCTTACAAGACACTTAAACAGCATGCTGATGATGATGCTACTTGCTATCCCAAATACATGACGTTAACCGATCAATACATCATTACAAAGAAAAGGCTAGCGTAATCACAACATCTAGTAGTAGTGTGCCTCCCATAACACAGGAACACAAATTACAGTAGGAAATTATTTTTCACTGCAGGCGTCGGCTTATATGTACACATCATAGGCGAAATGCAGAGACCCCATTGTCCAGTATCTTCTACTGTATTTTTTTTTCCTTTTCCCCTCTTCCTCCCGTCTCTGGAACACACGGCATCAGGGAGCTCAGCTCAGTTGCAGCAGAACGCGAGCGCTCGGCTGCGGACTGTGCTGAGCTCGGAGCTGTCTGCATGAACCGTCCATCCATCTGTAGCAAGAATGCGTGCTGTACCCAAATGTTATTTGCCTGTTTGATTGAAACCAACAACAGACACGCGCAACAGACTCGTGCGTGGCCAAAGACGAGAGGAATTTTCCTCTTTCTGCCATTGCAATTGCTGCGCGAAAACCAGTCAGCCAAGAGGCTGCAGCTGGCCGCAGTGCATCTGCATCTGCATCAGAACAGAGTCGTCCAGGAAGCCTGCACCGTGATGGGAATTGACGCCGGGCTCGAGTTTCACGTTGCCGTAGGAGTGCGGCATGAAGTGGTGGTGGTGGTGCGGCGGCGGCTTGCTGTCGACGAGGACGCCAAACTGCTCGGAGATGACCGGGCCGCCGCCGGCGGCGGTGGACGAGGGTGTGAAGGTGGAGGTGAGCACGGAGGGCGGCGAGGCAGAGGGGTTGTTGCCGCGGCCGCCGGTGTCGTCTTCAGGGAGGTTGACGGTGGTGATGTCGTGGATGCTGGAGCGGCGCTTGTCCTTGCCGCCGGAGTTGAGGCGGATAAAGTACTTCTGCGCGTGGCTGGCCACCTGCGTCGGCGTCCGGCTCGTCACGAAGTTGCGCGAGATGTTCCTCCAGTCCCCGCGCCCGTACTTCTTCAGACCCATCAAGAACAGCCTGCGGTACGGTAGGCAACCAAAGGAGACTGATTAGCCATGGAAATTTCACCAATCAGGCACGCAAGTTCCATTTGTTGTGTGACTGTGTGAGTGAGAGGATCAATTGGGGTTGGGGCTGCTGCTTACTTGTGCTCCTCCTCCGTCCAGGGGATGCCCTTCTTGCGCTCGTGGTCCGGCCCGCGCTCGCGCTTGCCGCCGCCAACCACGTAGCAGGAGCGCTTAAAGCCCAGCGCGCCGGCGTCGCCGCCGCCGCTGCCGTCCCAGTCGAACGTGAACCCGGCGGATTGCGACGCGCCGCCGCCGCCGCCGCCGTAGCGGGGGAAGGGCACGAAGCCGGCCTCGATGAAGCCGACATCGCTCTCCAGGTCGTCGTAGTGGGCGGCGACGTCGGCCACGGTCCTCCCGGGCAGCATCTGGGCCACCCGCTCCCACCGGTCCGGCGCGTCCGAGTCGACCCGCGCCAGCGCGCGCTCGAACATCTTGTTCTCCTCCACCGTCCACGCCCCGGGCAGGGGCCCGGCCCCGGCCCGCCGGTCCGGCGGCAGGAACCGCCCGCCGCCCGCCGCCTGCCCCGCGAAGTAGGGCGGCGGCAGCACCTCCATCCACAGCTCCGTCATCAACGTAAGCACGTCCTCCACTCCGCCGCTAACGAACCGACCCAAGATCTCGCCTTTCCTTTCCCTGTCGGAGTCGGAGGACACGGAACGGAAGGCGGCGAGCCCTTGGTCAGTCAGCCCGGAGCGGCGAGCAGGGGGAGTTGGGAATGGGCGGCGAGAGGGGGGTATTTATGGTGAAGGCAGTGGAGGTGGAGGCAGATGCCAAAGTGGCCAGAGGTGATTCGGCCTCCACCGCGGGAGCGCTTGAAACTTTAAAGAAAGCGCGAGCGTCTGAGCGAGCGCCTCCGATTGGCCCGTGGTGGAGTTTGTGGCCTCCCCAACCAAAAACAAAAGAAAGAGAGGCCTCTTCTCAGTTCACTCCCTCGCCACATCTTGCTGCCGGCTGCCGCCACTCGGTTCGAGCTCGCTGTGTTTGTCCCGCTCAGCGGCCGCGCACGGAGCAGGCAGCGGGAAGCTCGGCGTTGCCCCGTGCGCGACTGCAAGGAGCGTGTTCGTCCCCGTCCGCGTCCAGGCTGGAGAAGTTATACTTTCTGTGTGGTCGCAGGGGCGACGTCGTGATGGACCTTTTGCCCCTTTTCTTTATTGGCCGTTCGTTGCTTTGCTTGCCGCTTCTCCCAATGCTGGACTCGGCTGCTGCCGCTTTAATTAATTTATGCACATTTATGGATTCCTGTAGGCCTATACCATACTGTGCATTTCTTGACTGCCTAGTTTCAGTAATTTGCATTGCTCCTCTCTTTGTTTTTTGACGGAAAACCTTCTCGCTGCTCGCCGGCATGGTCCAAAATAGCAGCGGCCAAGGTTGGGGGTGCATGAAAACCGCTTGCCACGAAACTAGAAAGGAGGGGCACATGGCGGCGGTCTACCATGGGCAATGAGGGAAACCAGAACCATATGTCCATGTCTACCACGGATTTATGAGAGGGAGACGAGTCAGGTGGCACGCGGTAAGATGACCGTAGAGGCTCTCATCGAGAAAGGTTTTCATCGAGAAAGGTTTTCATGAACCATATGTCCATGTCTACCACGGATTTATGCTCTTCCATGTGTTACCTTTCTCCTATCAGTCAATGTTCGGTCCTCCATTTCTCAAATAGAAATGAACACCCCAAGTCGAATCTAAGCAGCATAGCAACCAATCTTAATGTTTAGGGTGCATAAAACTTAGTTCCCCTAAGCTATTTTGGTTCTGAAGAATGCGATGCTCGTGGACCTCCTCCTTGAGCTCTAATTAAAAGGAAAACTTAGTTACCTGCCATCAAGCTCAAGCTCCTACGGCAATGGAGAGCAAAGGAAATGGCAAAACGAAAGATTTGGAGGGAAGAGTGCCTAAAGCAGCTGGTAAAGTCTCCAAGGGTGGAGCTACCGTCCGGGGTTCGAACCCCGGCTCTCCACGCTGGCCTCCAGGAAGGCCGCGCCCAAAGGTGGTGCTTTTCAAAAAAGAAAACGAAAGATTTGGAGCTTATGTAAAAGGTGGAGCAAGTTGACACAGCAAATATCAACCTTATCTTGCTTTTAACTCATGTATTAGCCAACACTCTACTAAGTTCATAAAATGACCATAAGAAACCCTCTGTAAAATTCCTTTAACTTTGATATGTCTTGATGTTCTCGCCAATAATTTGGTAAGTTACCCCAAATCGAGAGGTCTAATAACAACAAAAACATAAACATGACATGAGCAGATAATGCAATGTAGTTGCCTTAAAAAAGTTCAATGTAGGTCAAATGCGTGGCAAAAACTTTTATGAGAAAAAAGTATGACACCAATAGACAATCTTCAGCTTGTGATGACTATAGAAATACATGGAATCAAGAGCGGAGCTACCCTAGGCGGTGGAGGGGCGGCTGCCCTAGCTACCGGTGTGCTTGCCCCCACACCCTCCATCCTCCTTTGGTCCTTGCACCTCCATTTCTTCAATGACTCCTGAGACGAGCACCGAGCGTATGCTACCATGGCGTTGAAGACAGAGAATGATCAGGAGAAGAAAATAGGCTCCACTTAGGTGGCTGGGCCTAATGTTGCCACCTTGGTATAGCCTAGCAGCATGCCATATGAAGGCCCAATCGCTTGATTCCCCGATGAAAATCAACCCATTTTCAACGACCAATAGCCCACCAATCCATTCGTCTGCTGTCGGGGACCAATACTAGGGTACCCGAAGAGGAGTAGCTAATGACCATCAATATTGACTCGTTCGAGCAGTCAAGAGCGTGACTACAGCTCCAACCGACCCCCGACGCGCAAGCTCCGCTTCTTCCGGCCTCTGGGAGAGGGCACCGCCTCGCCCGACCCTTGGGTTTGCGCTTCACCTCGCGCGGCCTCTAGGGGAGGACTCCCCCTCGCCCGACCCTTGGGCCTGCGTTTCGCCTCACCCGACCCTTGGGTCTGCGCTCCGCCTCGCCCTACCCTTGGGCCTGCGCTCCGCCTCACTCGACCCTTGGGTCTGCGCTCCGCCTCGCCCTACCCTTGGGCCTACGCTCCACCTCATCCGACCCTTGGGTCTGCGCTCCACCTCGCCCGACCCTTGGGTCTGCACTTCGCCTCGCTCGGCCTCTGGGGGAGGACTCCGCCTCGCCCGACCCTGAAGCCGCGGGCTCCACCTCGCTCGACCCTTGGGTCTATGCTCTGCCTCGCCCGGCCTCTGGGGGAGGACTCCGCCTCGCTCGACCCCGAGGCCGCGGGCTCCGCCTCGCCCGACGGAGACCCATGCCATCACCAACCACTCTAGGTCCAAGCATATGGGCCTGAGTCAAAGCTCTGACACCAGGGAAGAGACCGGCACGCCTCGATGTAACACATGGCCTTGACGGGCCATACCGGAGGATTTACATCAAAAACAGCGTCGGGCGTACCGATGTTGTTCTGTCTAACCCCCGTATGAACACTGACGGGTGCGTCAGTTCACCACGACATTCGTCAGGACAGAGTGGAGCACCATGACCGGCATATGACGCCTGCGTATGGCGCTAGTGACGGACAGGACCGCAACGTGAAGCCGTCCCTGTTGACATCTAGAAGGTCGGCGAGACCCGCATGAAGTAGAAGGACCCGACGATCCTGAAGGCCTTTGGCTCTCTCTCTCTCTCTTGTTCTTCTCTTTCCTCTGCTGTAACCCATGCTTTCCCTTGGCCTATAAAAGGGAAAGCAGGGCGTCCCATAAGGAACATCACAACACATGACATCGATTCAGGCTAAATCCGATCGAACCATCACGAACCCATCGAACCTCGAACATGCGTCTGAGTAGCAACCGAGCTCTCTCAGCACCCATTCACTACTTTCACCAGAGACTTGGGACCTGTTCCTCTCTCGCGCATTTGTAACCCCTACTACAAACTTTCAGTGCTAGTAACATGAGCAACAGTAATGAACTGGACATATGGACATTCTGTCCGAACTAGTATAAACCTCATGTCCTCTAAGCACACCATCCAAGCCAGACGCATAATATTAGAAATTTACTTGTCGGTGGCAACTCAAAACACCGACAGTAGGCATGCCAAGTAGGGGGGCTTTTGTGCGTCTCGACATCCACACCGGGCCTCAAATGGCTAGTCACAACCTCAGCTAGGTACCGGACGCGCACGTGCGCTTCGGGGACCTAGACTTCATCGTCACGACGGAGGGAGAGTTGGCGATGGCTCCCACCGCCGTCCGACCTCTCCACTCCGCCGACCTTGACACGATCGTCGAGGCGCTTGAGGAGCTACAGCTGCACGTATCGGAGGCCCGCGCCCCAGAAGCGACTAGCTCCTCCACTTCGACTACGGGAGGTTAGGACGCTAGCTCGGTGCCTTCTTGGGACCCCGACCGTCCTAGGAGGACCTGTGCCACCTCACCTTCTCGTTCGCCAACGTCATGGCAAAGCTTGCCGGAGGGGAGCCGCTCTCTCCGGAATACCTCATCCGGAGTGCCCCGATAGCGCTCCTGTTCGATCTCCGCAACGTCGTAGAGACCGATGGCCACCTTGTGGCACAATGCACGCTCTCGTTGTCTTATTGATTTCACTATCGAGCCCCCAACCCAGCAACGGCAAGGGGTCGGGTCTCACTCAGGGGCTGGCAGGAGTGTCTGTTCGGTAGACATTCTCTAAGCCCGACCCCTTTCTTACGCTAAAACCTAGAGGCAAGGTGTGCGGAAACAAACTCTGAGTAAAACTAGTCGGACCGCTAAAAACCTACGCCCCAGCGGCTATGGCGTTTCTGCTCACCAGCGTGATCAGAGTTTTTATCCCCACACCCCGAGCTTTAGCCTCCGCCTTGCCTAGAAGGTTTGAAGGGACCCACCGGCAAAATCACCAACGAGGAGAGGCCGGTAGGTCGCCCAAGTCGGTCGGACGGCTCGGGCCGCTGCCGAGAGACGGGTATGGAGAAGCAGGATTCCCCATGCAGGTTACGCCAACTTCGTCATGAACGACGAACCCAGACCCCATAGGGACATATCTGGTAAGAGCTCCCTGAACCCGTCACTCGAGCCATCGAAGTAACTTTACCAACCCCCACTTTACTTTTCCAGTACATGAGCATTCATTCATCCAATCTCATGCATGCATTCATACATACATTCATCCATACATTCATCTCATACATCCAAGCATTGCATATGCAATTATTGCATCACAACGCTTTGCTTCGTGTCACGAAGCGGTAGTCGTCTCATTCGACATGAGCGGCGATCGACCGAGGTTCAAAGGCCGATCCACGAAGCGCTTGAGGCCGCCTCGCGTCAAATAGAGCCAGGGAGAAAAACCAATATGAGCCCCAGCGGCCCTTGCCTGACCCCGCTCAGAAGTGGACAAGGACATCTTGACCTTTCTTGTTCGATCCTAACCTCGAACCAAGCCCACAGAATCTCCATCGAGGAGAGGCCAGCAGGCCACCTGAGTCGCTCTCCGGAGTGACATGGGCATCTGCTGGGAGACGGGTTAAGGAGCATTGGAATGCCACATGAGGGCTATGCTGACCCCGTCAGCGAATGACAGACCCGGATTCCACTC